GGCCAAGGAGGTGATAGCGGCGTCCCTGGGCACCAAGAGCAGCCAGGTGAGGTACCTGGGCACAGGTGAGAGCACCTGGGATACACCTGGGTACACCTGGGTACACCTGGGCACAGCTGGGATACACCTGGGACGCACCTGGTACAGCTGGGACACACCTGGGTACAAGTGGGACACACCTGGATACACCTGGGTACACCTGGGATACATCTGGGTACAATTGGGACACACCTGAGCACACCTGGGCACACCTGGGACACACCTGGGATACAGCTGGGATACAGCTGGGCACACCTGGGACACACCTGGGACAGCTGGGACACACCTGGGTACAAGTGGGACACACCTGGGATACACCTGGGTACACCTGGGATACACCTGGGTACAATTGGGACACACCTGAGCACACCTGGGCACACCTGGGACACACCTGGGATACAGCTGGACACCCCTGGGTTACACCTGGGCACACCTGGGCACACCTGGATACACCTGGGTACACCTGGGCACACCTGGGATACACCTGATCACAATGGGAACACACCTGGGCACACCTGGGTACAATTGGAACACACCTGGGCACACCTGGGGGTTGGTTTTTGGGTCATTTTTGGGTCATTTTTGGGCCATTTTTGGGCTATTTTGGGGCTATTCGAGGACTATTTTTAGGGTGGTTTTTGGGCCATTTTTGGGCCATTTTTGGGTCATTTTTGGGCTATTTTAGGGTTGTTTTTCTGTTATTTTTGGGTCATTTTTGGGTCATTTTTGGTCATTTTTGGGTCATTTTTGGGTTATTTTTGGGTCATCTTTGGGCCATTTTTGGATTATTTTTAACCCTTTCCTGCCCCCACAGGAGACCCTACGCACGGCCCTGGCCGTGGGTCATTTTTGGGTTATTTTTGGTTATTTTTGGGTCATTTTTGGGTTAAATTTAGATTATTTTTAACCCTTTCCTGCCCCCACAGGAGACCCTACGCACGGCCCTGGCCGTGGGTCATTTTTGGCCATTTTTGGGTCATTTTTGGGTCATTTTTGGGTTAAATTTAGATTATTTTTAACCCTTTCCTGCCCCCACAGGAGACCCTGCGCACGGCCCTGGCCGTGGGCGCTGACCGGGCCGTGCTGGCCGAGGTGGGGGAGGGGGTGGCCACGGGGCCCCGCGAGGTGGCCACGGCCCTGGCGGCCCTGGTGGGGCGGCTGCAGCCACAGCTCGTGCTGCTGGGCAAGCAGGTGAGGCCCCGGGGCTACCTGGGGGGAGGGGGGGGAGACCCTATGGAGAGCCTATAGAATTCTCTAGAATCCTATGGAGCCCTATGGAAATCCTATGGAATCCTATGGAAATCCCATGGAATCCTATGCAGACCCTATGGAATCCTATGGAACCCTATGGGATCCTATAGAATCCTAGGGACACCCTATAGAACCCTATGGACGCCCTATGGAAATCCTATGGAACCCAATGGGCACCCTATGGAAATCCCATGGAATCCTATGGAGACCCTATAGAACCCTATGGAAGTCCTATGGAATCCTATGGAGACCCTATAGAATCCTATGGAGACCCTATAGAATCCTATGGAAATCCTGTGGAATCCTATGGAACCCTATAGAACCCTATGGAAGTCCTATGGGATCCTATAGAATCCTATGGAGACCCTATAGAGTTCCTATGGAATCCTACAGAACTCTATGAAACCCTATGGAAATCCCATGGAATCCTATGGAGACCCTATAGAACCCTATTGAAATCCTATGGAACCCTATGGGATCCTATGGAGACCCTATAGAACCCTATGGAACCCTATGGAATCCCTGTAGAACCCTATGGAAATCCTATGGAATCCTATGAACACCCTATAAAACCCTATGGAGCCCTATGGAGACCCTATAGAGTTCCTATGGAATCCTATAGAACCCTATGGAACCCTCTAGAATCCTATGGACACCCCATGGAAATCCTGTGGAACCCTACGGAATCCTATAGAACCCTATAGAGTTTCTATGGAACCCTATGGACACCCTGTGGAACCCTATAGGATCCTATAGAACTCTATGGAACCCTATAGAACTCTCTGGAGACCCTATAGAACCCTATGGAGACCCTATAGATTCCTATAGAACCTTACAGAGATCCCAGGGACCCTTAGAGAACCCTATGGAACCTTCTAGAACCCTATAGAGCCCCTATAGAACCCTACAGATCCCTATAGAACCCCCATAAAGCCCCTCTAGATCCCAACGAACCCCTGTATCTCCCCTATAGACCTGCAGGGACCCCTATAGGCCCCTCTGGACGCTCCCCCCAGAGCTCCCCCGCACCCTGGGGGGTGGGAGGTCCCCTATAGATCCCCTATAGATCCCCTGTGTCCCCCCCAGGCCATCGATGACGATTGCAACCAGACCGGGCAGCTCCTGGCAGCCATGTTGGACTGGCCGCAGGTAGGCCGCGCGCGGGGCAGGATGGGATACATCCCCCCCTCATGGCGGCGGATGGGGGTGAATATATCCCATCGTGCACCGCGGTGGGGGGAATTGTGGGATATATTCACCCCTAAGTCGCAAGGGGGTTGTGGGATATATTCACCTCTTCCGGTGCTGAGGATTGTGGGATGTATTCCCCTCTTCCGGTGCTGAGGATTGTGGGATATATTCACCTCTCCGGTGCTGAGGATTGTGGGATATATTACCCTCTTCCGGTGCTGGGGATTGTGGGATATATCCTCCTCTTTAACCGCGGTGGCCGATGGGATATATTCCCCCTAAAGTCGCGGGGGATGACGGGATATATCCCCCCCGATGGATGTGAAGCTCCGGGAATTGAGGGGGCCCAGTTCATACTGGGAGGCTCCCAGTTCATACTGGGAGGCTCCCAGTCCTTACTGGTCCTCAGGGGACGTTCGCCTCGCGGGTGGAGCTGGAGGACGGCGCCGTGCGCGTCCAGCGGGAGGTGGACGGAGGCCTGGAAACGCTGAGGCTGCGCCTGCCGGCCGTGCTGACCGCTGACCTGCGGCTCAACGAGCCCCGCTACGCCACTCTGCCCAACATCATGGTGGGTGTGGGGTCCCCAAAATTCCCCTAAAATCTCGGGGATCGTCTCCCAAAAACTTCGGAGCGGTCCCCAAAGAGGTTCCGGTGTGGGTAGACCTGTTGTCCCAAATACTTGGGGGGATGGAGGAGGGGAAGAAATGGGATTACCCCCAAAATTCCCAAAATTTCTGGGTATTCCCCAAATCCCTGGGTATTCCCCAAATCCCCAAGACCCCCAAAATTCCCGAGAAATTCCCCAAAAATCCCTGAGATTTTCCCAGAATTCCCCTGTGGGTAGACCTGTTGTCCCACACACCTGAGGTTCCCTTTTAGGACTGAGGGTGCTTGGGAAAGTGAAATTAACCCCCCCCCCCCCCAAAAAAAAATTCCTGGGAACCCCAAAATCCCTGAGAACATCCCCAAAATCCTTGAAAAAAATCCCCTCCCAAAAAATCCCAATTATCCCCACCCTGACCCCGTTTTTTCTGGGCGTTCCTCTCATTTTTGGGGGAATCCAACCCCCCCCTAAAAATCCTCAAAAAATTCCCAAAAAATCCCTAAAATTCCCAGAAAGCCAAGAAGAAGCCCATGGAGGTGATTCCAGCAGCGGATTTGGGGGTCTCGGGGGGCTCCCCCCGCCTGAAGGTGCTGCAGGTGCAGGAGCCACCGGCCAGGGCAGGTGGGGAGAAGGTGGAAAACGTGGAGACCCTGGTGGAGAAACTGAGGCAGAGCGGCCGCATCTGAGCCTCCCAGTTCCTCCCAGTTCATCCCAGTTCAGCCCAGGAACCCTCCCGGTGCTGTACCAGTAAGCACCAGTAAGGAGGAGTTTGTCCCAGTTTGGTGCTGCTGGGTTTTTAATGGTTCTTCTGTCCTCGCTGGTGCCTTTTGGGCTGGACCAGTTCGTCCCAGTTCATCCCAGTCCCCTCCCAGTTCATCCCAGTGCCCTCCCAGTTCATCCCAGTCCCTTCCCAGTTCATCCCAGTGCCTTCCAGTCTGGCCCAGGCCCTCCCAGTGCCTTCCCCCCCCGCCCCCCAATAAAGGCGTGGCCAGTCGATGACGTCATCACCTTTCTGAGGAGGCGTGGTTTCAAGGGGCGCGGTCGTGGAGGGGGCGGGGCCACATCCTGGCCCAGTTTTACTGGTTTCTACTGGTTTTTATTGGGTTTTTTTTGCTGCGGGTGCGTCCCAGTATAAACCAGTTCGGGACCGGACGGGTCCCAGTTTGTCCCAGTATAACCCAGCAGCTCCCAGTTAAGGTCCAGACGGGTCCTGCTGGGTCCCAGTTTGTCCTAGTATGGCCCAACACGCCCCAGTTCATTTCCAGAGGGGTCCCAGTTTGTCCCAGTTCAGCCTCAGGGTGTCCCAGTATGACCCAGTGGCTCCCAGTTCAGGTGCTGGCAGGTCCCAGTTTGTCCCAGTATGACCCAGTCCGGCCCCAGCGCATTCCGGTCTGTCCCAGTATGATCCAGCGGCTCCGAGTGCGTCCCAGTTTCTCCCAGTCCGCTCCCAGTTCGTCCCAGTTTGTCCCAGTTCCTCTCGGTCTCCACCGCGGCGGCTCCGCGTTGCCAAAGCAACGCCTCACCCCGCCCCCCGGAGCTGTCAATCAACTGCCTCGCCCAATCAGAGCCCGAGGCTGCGCGCCGTCCGCAGGGGCGGGGTTTGGGCTGACAGACAACGCCCTGGACCAATCAGAAGACTAGAAAGGCGGGCGCTGCGTCATCGCCGACCAATCAGCGCCGCGGAGGCCCTGCAAGAGCGGAGCGGGCGGCCCCGTACGGCCCCTCAGAGCCGGGGCGGCGGCGGCGGCGAAGATGGCGGCGGCGGACGGCGACGATTCGCTTTACCCGATCGCAGTGCTCATCGATGAGCTTCGCAACGAGGACGTGCAGGTAGCGCTGCCGGGGCCTCGCCGCGATATCCCCGGGCCTTTCCGCGGCCTCCGCGGCCTTTCCGCGGCCTCAGGGCCCGGCCGCCATCGCCCGCTCGCCGCGGCCCCGCTGTTGATGGCCGCCATGAGACGGCCGCGCTGATTGGCTGAGGCGGGCCGGTCCCCTCAGGCGCGGGCAAATGGGCGGCGGTGTTGCATGTGTGGGGTACCTTTGGTCCCCTTGGTGATTGCGGTGAAAGGCGCGCTCTGATTGGCAGGCGGTTGGGTTTGGGCTTTGTTAGCCGCGTTCTGATTGGTCCGCAGCGCGCTGAGGGGGAAAATCTACCCCCCCTCACGCCGTACCGTCCCCTAGCGGCGGGGCAGCGACCCCCCGCCTTTGGCCGCAGCCAATGGCAGCGCGAGGCCGAGGCAGCGCCGCTTTCCATTGGCTGCCCCCGTGGTGGGCGGGGTTTGGAGGAGCCAATCAAGGCGTTTCTCTCTGCCGCGGCGCCGCTGCGGAGCCGTGAGACGCCTCCCCTGATTGGCTGCGTCGCGTTGGGGGCGGGGTTTGCTCCGTGAGGGGGCACTTTCCTACTTTTGCCCCAAATTTTTTTTTCGCGAATTTTTCCCGGATTTTCCTCAAATTTTGCCCCTTTTTTCCATCCCAGCTGCGCCTCAACAGCATCAAGAAGCTCTCGACCATCGCGCTGGCGCTGGGCGTGGAGCGAACCCGCAGCGAACTCCTCCCTTTCCTTACCGGTACCTGGGGAAGGATCCCAAAATTTGGGGAGGGGTTCCCAAAATCTGGGTGGGGGCCGCGAGGTCCCGGAATTCTTCCCCACCCTCTAAAAAATAATTAAAAAAAAATCGGTTCTGATCTCCCCGTGGGGCGGTTTAGTTGGGGAGCGGGCGGGGTTTGGGGTGGTGGGTGGGGCTTGGGGGGGTGATTGACAGGTGTCAATCAAAGGGTCAGGTGTTTGACAGGTGTGTTACCTGTGCTGTCGCAGACACCATTTACGATGAGGACGAGGTGCTGCTGGCCCTGGCTGAACAGCTCGGCACCTTCACTGCCCTCGTAGGGGGACCCGAGTTCGTGCACTGCCTTCTGGTAAGGGCCCCAAAAACTCACCTGGGGAACCCAAAAACTCACCTGGAGAACCCAAAAACTCACCTGGGGAACCCAAAAACTCACCTGGGGATCAAAAAATACACCTGAGGAACCCAAAAAGTCACCTGGGGAACCCTAAAAGTCACCTGGGCATCCAAAAACTCACCTGGGGAACCCTAAAACATACGTGGGAGGTATTTTATATATGATGTAATTTATTAAAAAATGTTTGTATGTTGGACGTATTTTTAATATATTTATTATAATTGTATGTATTAGTTGTGTATTATATTGGTGCACAAAAGTGTATTGTGTAAGGAATTCATTAATTTTAGTGTGTTAATAAGTGTATATTAATTATATATGTGGGATGTATAATGTGATTGTAATTGTGTTTTTTCACCCCGTGTCCATCTGTCCATCCCATGTCCCTTCTAACCCTCCCATGTCCACCTGTCCACTCCATGTCCCTCTGTCCATCTGTCCCCACCGTGTCCCTCTAACCCCCCATGTCCCCCTCTCCATCTGTCCATCCCATGTCCCCCTGTCCACTCTCTGTCCACCTGTCCACTCCATGTCCATCTGTCCCTCTGTCCACCCCATGTCCCTCTGTCCACCCCATGTCCATCTGTCCATTCTCTGTCCCTCTAACCCTCCCAATGTCTCTCTGTCCATCTGTCCCCACCGTGTCCCTCTAACCCCCCATGTCCCTCTGTCCATCCCATGTCCCCCTGTCCACTCTCTGTCCACCTGTCCACTCCATGTCTCTCTGTCCACCTGTCCACTCCATGTCCATCTGTCCCTCTGTCCACCCCATGTCCCTCTGTCCACCCCATGTCCCTCTGTCCACCCCATGTCCCTCTAACCCCCCATGTCCCCCTGTCCATCTGTCCACCCTCTGTCCCTCTGTCCATCCC